ACTGCATAACTGCAACTTGGATTCAAGTATAAAAGTTTGGGTGATCAAGAGTGAAATGCAAAATACCTACCCACTGGCCAAATGAAATATAGGCAGTCCCATCTGTTTTACATGTAGTTGAATCACCAAAAGGGTTTGATTTGTCTCTACATAAAGCTGAAATCAGAACCAGTGGCACATTCCCAATGTTTCCTGCAATCAATGGTAAGACCCATATAATTCAAAATAACTCAGATTGTGGTAGAGCCTACAGTTGATACTGAATATATTACATACCCAATTAAGCCACATATATTGTGCTATTATTTATAGATTACAGACATATTGCATGGGCTGCTAAGTGTGAATTATGCAATAAATGAGCAGAAAAAGATGTGCTAGTCGCATGTTTCGAGTAGCTTAAATTACAAGACTGATCTCAAATCATCACCTTGAATATTTCGTCATCCCACATTTCGGAATCAATTAGAGGCTCATGTTTAAACTAGTGGTAGAAGAAAGCATACCTATTCCAATCTGTACAATTGTAAACTTGAAGAAGGGGTAAGGTGGACGGACAATGGATGCAACAATATACCCTATTATAGAGCCTGATGTACTACCCAGAACGACATTCACAGGAATAAACCACCTGCAAAAGGATAAATTTCTAGTTATAATAATCTAATTGTTGGCCTTGTTGCCATGGAGTGTAAAAGAAACAGAAGAACTAACTCTTACCACTCAAGCATTTTCTGTAGGGTGATGGCTTGTCCAAGTTGAGAGAATATCAAACATGGAAGCAAAAGTGAGAAGACCAGCTGCAAGAAATAGTAGGAAAACCAGTTATATAGTGCACGGTATACACCGGAAAGTTGCTTGCAATGCAAGGGTGAGATGTGGGTTTTGCTTACCCCATTTAAGAGTTTCCTTCCACTGGCGGGGAAGATGTTAACATACTTGGAAGCCATTAGAAGGCCCAAGGAGCACACTGTAAAAACCTTTGCTATGGGCAAAACTGCGATCTTGATCGTCCCAAGTAACGACTCCCCCCCGGCCCGATGGGCCACCTCCACCACCTGCAAAAACCTTTCCATGTTTTCCCCAACTATCTATGTTGCCTGCCCAGAAGAATTCACCAATTTTTCTTCAAACTATCCCAATTGGCACTTCTCATGAAATCAGAACCAGGCTGCCCACAATTCAATTCTTCTTTCAAAATAAAGCCCCTTAATTTATTATTCGGGATAATAAAAAAAGGGGATTTGCAGTCCAAAAATCTCTTCTTTTCTGGCGAAGCCTCCGTTGCTCGGCAACTTTTCCTTGAACCAGCAAAAACAAAAGCAAATAAGGAAATACCCGTTGCGCTATATATCAAATCCCAGCTAAAATCCTAGTCATTGTCGAAATATGAATCCTTGAACCCAAAAAACATAAACATTATTTGAATCATCAAATAAACAAAACCATTTGATAAGATAATTAACGTAAACCTCAATCAAAGTAATCAAAGTAGAAGATGAACACCAAATGTGGCAAGGCAAACAATCCCAACCTAAATCATTGTCGTCATGTGTTCTAGCTGCCGAGGATCCAACGGAGAATTCGCAGCAACCAAACCCTATAGCAATCGGAGAAACACACAGAACCAAAAAAAAGAAAATAAATAAATAAACGAGACAAAAAAGGATGAGAAATGAAGAATCCGAAATCAAATAAAACTGAAACTCAAAAATCAAAAGAAACAAAAAAACAAAAACAAAACAAAAATAGATTACGTCGTCGTCTAAGTTACCTACTCTTTGCTCTGCCTCTTCTTCCTGTTTGTTTTGGTTTAGTTAGTTGGCGCGTTGCCACCTCCCTGTCAAAAAATTTCTATGTTTCTCTTGTTAAAATCTAACGAGTGAAAGTCGGGATAAACTCAGAAACGTCGACGGCTCGGCTATTTGTATGGAGCGGCAAATGTGACGAAACTACCCTTAAAACTTTCAATATATTACAGAAAATACCCCTTCCCGCTTGATCGTCGTGAGCTACTAGAAGTCGGTACCAACGAAATTTCCGCGCAAGTAGCAGTCTCTCTCTCCTCCCATTCCTTTCCTAATGTGTACTTGTTTTCTCGTGCAGTTCAATTTTGTTTCTTTGCTTTTGTGGCTGAGGGCTGAGAACAGTTTTGTAGAGTTGGCAATTTTCTTTTTTCTTCTTTTAGGTTCAAATTCTGTTTGGAGAAACAAAAAAAAAACCTGTCAGGTAAATTTCTAAAAATGATGGATCGAGTCGAGAGAAATAGTTGTCACATCATGCACACTTTGTGAAAAATTCGGCTTGTCGCATCAGGAAAGCGTACGAGAGTTGCCTTGCCTTAATTAACTTTAGTTCTTTTGCGTAATCGTGTCTTCGTTGATCACAATAATAAGATTCGTATTACGTACCTAAGGTTTTATAACTATTTCGTAAAAAGTATATATTAACAAAATTGTTGCAAGGAGTTGTAGTTTAAGTGGTCGAGAATAATTATCGATGCCTGTCGGCTGTTCAATTCTCTAATAGCGCAATATTGTTTGTATGGAAAGAAAAAATAAAGTAATTTCATATACAAACTTATTATAAAGTAAATTTAGATTTTAGCTCTAAAAAAAACTTTTATTTTGGAAAAAGCCAACCTATAATATGCAATACTAATTGTGATGTCTAATGTAAGTAGAATAGTAGGAAAGTGATAGAGGTTTGTTTGAAGGGTAGATGGGTAGATGGGTTGAGGGGTTGAGGGGTTGAGGAGAAGTTCAAAGTGCAATGGAGACTGGATCTGTCCCTTGTGAAGCAGAGGTTGCTTCTTTGGAATGGTTGTTGAGAGGATGATGCCAGACAACTGTGTTCATGATTATATTGTTAGCTGGATATATAATAATAAATATCTTCAGTAAATTAAAGGATATATATGTCAGATTCAGAAGGAGATAAAATAGCCAGAGAGCTTCTCAAATCCCATTCACATGATGATCGTGTGGTAATCACCGGTTCACAGCCTGATCAGCTTTTCTGTCACCTCTATTCCCTTATCACTTCACTTGCCATCACTCCAATTAATACCTTCGTTGCGTAATAGAAATAGGTCACGACTAATCCGTCGTATAGAATTTCTAATCGTTGATGTATGAGAACAACTATTATTGACTACTATGCATGTGCCTTTTTTGACTATTGATGTTCAAAATAAGCATCTCATATTAATACTTTGATTATGAATAGAAGTAGGTCACGGTAAATTAGTCACACGAGATTTCTAACCATTGATACATGAGTGTACTTATTTTTTTCCTTCATACATGTGCATTTTCTAACTATTGATGCATATGCATAACTATTTCAAAATAGGTGATGTTCTTTTTTCTTTTTCTTTTTTAATCAAATATTTTTATATTTAATTAATTAAGACATACAAATTATCATGTCACATGCGTGTAATATTAATTATGCCCGAAAAAATATAATGTCTCATCATGCTATATTAATATGATTAGATTGTTGTAGTGTGATTTAGAAGAAAATATGCACTTGATATATCCACCCAAATATCAAGTAGTGTTTTCTAGTATATGAATGTGGAAACTGGACACAGGACAGGACAGGACAGGACAGGACATTTCGCACAAATAATGCCACATACAATACAAACCTCACAGGGGAAAGTGCGTGGTATGTGGCATGTCCAATTTTCCATGGGGTCCAGTAATCAATCTTATTTTAATACCGTCATCATCAGACGGATCCAAAACGTATCTCTCAAGAACCCTAAATTTACTATATAGGAAATGGGAGTGACAATCAGATTTGTATGGTTCCTAATTGCTTTTCTGAAAGGTGATTGTCGTGTTGGGCAAAGGAAGCATGAGGTGTTGGCCCCTGCTCAGTGCCATTTGCCAAAGGTGGAAATCAAACAACACAATCCGAGTCTGAGACTTTTGGCCAACTGCTTTACTTCAACTGGAAGCTTCCCTTTTGGGCTTGTAGCTTTTCAGGTGGGCAAGTACAAATGGTAATTCCAGTTTCGACACGACACTTTTAGGATTTTACTGCCAAAAGAGTAATGGTTAAGCTGTTTGGGATTTAAATTAAGGCTACAGAAAACGCTCTATTTCAAGCTTGGATAATACAATCCAATGTACTTCAATTTTACATTGCCTATATTATTACTCGGGTCAAATTTTTGCTTTTTGAAATGCTTTGCAACTAATTGATTGATTGTTTTAACTTTGATTTTCCTTTTCCAGTTAGTTTCAAGTTATGGGCTTGCATGTATTTATTGTTAAGATTTCAAAGAGACGGATTCTTGGCCCATTACTAGCAACGTCGATATTGTCCCCAACTTAACCACTTGAGGAAATGATTTGATTTTGGTTTAATTTGAAGGTTTTTTGTTTGATTTGAGTTTAAGCAGACTAAGTCAATAGACTCGCTTTGATACCATGTTAAGATTTCAGATGGACGGACTCTTGGCCCACCACTAGCAACATCGATATTGTCCCCAACTTAACCACTTGTTTAGTAAGTGTGGGGTTTTATACAAAATGCCTCGATATTATTAGGAGTTGAACCATTTATTATATGAGACATTCTATTTTGTTAAGTTTCCGATATGGGACTCGTGTATTCTTCAACATTTATAACCCCAATCTTGACTCTCTCAAACTCAAGGCCCAGGGTCAGCTCAACTTAGTCTGTCCAGGCCCAGCCCAGTTTATAATGGTAATTGGGTTGGTCCAGCCCAAGCCTATGATTACATAGCTAAGAAAGTTTGTATCAGCGTTCTAATGCATGCCCTCACCGTGATGAGTTTGCAGAAAAAATTGATTATTTGATATTTGTTATGGACCAATGCAAATATGAATAAGATCGATAACCTTCCGAATAACATTACATTTATCACATTTCTTGATCACATTGTATCGTAGATGAGTTTCACCTTTGTTATATAGATGCAACGAATCTATCTACGAGTGATGTAACTTCAAGCCAGTTGCCTTCATTGCACACGCCTAACAAGGAGTTTGATTCCATGTTGAGGCAGCAGCAAAATTTTGTAAACAGGGCAATGTTGATAATTTGGAGAAAGGGAAAATGAGAACTTGGACAGAATGAGGGAGAGCACTATCTTCAGCTGCAGCATGGCAAATGTCTGGCCCATGCACAATCGGCTCCCATAACCAAATGGCATGTATGCTTGGGGATACTTGCACGATTCGGATACCCCATTTTCAAACCTCTCTGGCTTAAACTCATCAGCATCTGAACCCCAATTTTCGGGGTCACGGTGCAGTGTTGGAATGAATGTCCATATGTGGATGCCTTCTGGCACATCCAAGCCCCCCAACTTCATGTTTGTAAGAGCTTCCCTTGCCATTATGACTCCCGGTCCATAAAGCCGCAGGCTCTCTTGAATCACCATTGTTAGCTGCATGTACATATAGATAAGCAACAATTTTGAAGATTTATCAAACACTCGACTATAAATATTACCATTTTCAATTTGCGTAAGGTGTCCATGTCTTGCAGGCAATGATGCAGTCGATCATCATCCCCACAGACCTCAAAAATCTCAGCACGAACACGATCTTGCCATTCGGGTTGTAATGCCAATAGCATCAAGGTCCAGGATGCTGCAAGAGCAGTGGTCTCAGATCCTGCAAAGTAGATAGTTCTGCAATTGTCCAGAATAAATTGGTCTGTTTTGTGGCTAGGCATTTCAGTGCTAGAAGCAGCACTTTCAAGTATCATTTGTAATAAGTCCTTTTCTGATGTGCCACACAATTGGCTTTCAGCTTGACGATCCCTCACTAATTTGAGCAACAAAGCGTCCACCTCTTTCTTTAAACTCCTTACCTTCTTGTCATTTTCTGTGGGAAGGAATCTGCAGGATTTGAACACATGGTAAAAAAACAATTATAAAAAAGATATAAAAAAGCATGTGCTAAAGTTACTGACAGAAGAACAAACAAACCTAAAATTGAGAAAGCCAAAGAGCAAACTTGGATGGGACAAGGTGTCCTGGAGGGCAGCAATCTTTGCAAAAATCTGGTTGCCTTGGGAGTAAGAGCTGCCAAAACAAGCTCTTGATATGATATCAGCAGAGAGGCTTTTCAAATCCTCATCAATTGTTATGTCCTCGATGCCCTCCTCACTTTCTAGTATACGGCTCTCCCATTTCTTAATTATTGTCTTTGTAGATTCCTCCATCAGACCCACCATGCCCTACAATTCTTCACCATTTCAATCACCACATGCTTGATTTTAAAATTTTAAAATAAAAGAAAAAGACTTTAGAAAATATAGATAAAAGGGTATTCTCTAATATACCTTAACCTTGTCGAGGAAGAATTCAGGAGCAATGATTTTCTTCTGGTATGCCCATTCTTCTCCGTTGGCCCGGATAACGCTGTCACCTAGCAATGGCTGCATTGGCTTACTCAGATATGTAGGTCTGCCCAAATCCAAGGAGTTGTGCAGTTTCAGCTCCCTTAACAGCTTGGGATCGCTCACATACAAGTGTTGCTTGCTCCCTGTTGAGTACATGTATACTTGACCTGCATAAATACTTTCATCAAACACTTGTAACTTTTCTCTGTCATTTTGATCCAAAATTCCCATATTCTAAATTATACACCAGCGAGTGACGCTAGCACATTTCTTAACTGAACACATTATGTTGCAGTTGACGTGTCTATCAAGAGTTGGAAAGCCACATGCTACATAATATGTGACCAAGAGTAAATATTTCTCCTCAAACTACGCAAATTTACTAAACTTCATACCATACTGCTGCTCCCATTGCTGAAGATAAGGAAAGAATGAGGGACAGTTGTGCTGCACTCGTTTAACACCAGATGGTTTCTGATTGATGTTGATATTGCTGGATTGAATCTTCTTCATCTCTGAAACATTACCAAAAATGAAGGAGGGTGCTGGCCCTCTGATGCCTTGCCTCCAAAGCACTGATCGAATCCTTGCAGGCTTCAGCCACATCTCCTTAACCAATCGCATTAAGACACTGGTTATACCAATCAACACAAGTGACCAGCATATCATTGCCACCTGAAAACCCTCCTCTGCCATCTCTCTCTGTTTATAAGAAGAGAAGATGGTTGTGTTTCAAGTTTCAACTGCACTGTGCCATTAATATGCTTTTCCACGGTCTGCACTGTGCCATTAATATGCTTTTTTTGTTGTTGAAAAAGAACAAAACTACAACATCAACAGTCTGCACCTATCTTGTAATGGTCACTTATTTTTCATTTTTAATTGTGTTTGATTAAATCAATGTCACATGACGAACATCTTTTTGTTTGGTATGAGGAAGGCCAATGGGGAAGGGACATATTCAAACTCTAAGTAGAATCTTTGCTGACACTCGGATGGAATCTAGCCTGGTTTTTCCAATAAAATAAGTAGATATAAAGTTATTAACATGTAGCCGTTGGCTGATTCGTTGATTTCTGAGTCGCTGTTGCAATGTTTACGTCGATTATGTTGCCTTCCATACAATAATACTATTTGGCCGGCGTGAGTAAATCAAGCATCTAGAATTAAATTCAATATAACATGTGGTTCAATGAAAATCAAGTTTTATATAATGGGACAGTGGTGGTGATTCCCCCTTCCCCCCATACCCAGGATCGAACCCAATGGAGTTTCTTTCTTCCAATGTAACAAAAAAAAAGTTTTATATAATGACATTTGCAGTCTGAAATATTAAGATATATGACGGATAATTCTGTGATTAACATTATATTTATCACATTTGTTGATCACATTGTATGGTAAACTGGTTTTACAAATAGGGTCCGTCTATTTACAAATGGTTTTATTGTACCCTTAAACCAGCTCTAACTGCCTTCAAATCCCTGCACACGCCTAACAAGGAGTCTGATTCCATGCTCCGGCAACAACAGCATTTTATAAACAGGGGAGTGTTGATAATTTGGAGAAAGGGAGAATGAGAACTTGGACAGAATGAGAGGAAGCACTATCTTGAGCTGCACCATGCCAAAAGTCTGCCCTATACAAGATCGGCTCCCATGACCAAATGGCACGTATGCTTGTGGATACTTGCATGCCTCAGACACCCCATTTGCAAACCTCTCTGGCTTGAACTCATTAGCATCCGGACCCCAATTTTCGGGGTCACGGTGCAGTGTCGGTATGAGCGTCCATATGTGGACGCCTTCCGGCACGGTAAAGTCCCCCAACTTCATTTTTGCTAGAGCTTCCCTTGCCAATATAACTCCAGGTCCATACAGCCGTAGGCTTTCTTGAATCACCATTGTCAGCTGCATATACACGCATATATATAAACACTGTGCGCAACAACTTTGAAAATTTATCAAACACTTAATAACAATGTCTTTCAAGTACCGTTTTCAACTTGTTCAGTTTGTCCATGTCTTTCAAGCATTGACGCAGTTGATCATCATCGTCCCCGCAGACCTCAGCAATCTCAACACGAACACGTTCTTGCCATTCTGGGTGCAATGCCAAGAGCATCAGTGTCCAGGATGCTGTCAGAGCTGTGGTCTCAGATCCTGCGAAGTAGATGCTTCTACAATTATCCAGAATGAATTGGTCTCTTTTGTGCATATATTGTTGAGGCTTGTCAGTGCTGTTATTAGCAGCACTTTGGAGTATCATTTGTAATAGGTCCTTTTCTGACGTGCCTCCCGATTGGCTTTCCTTTTGGCGATCTCTCACTAATTTGAGTAACAAAGCATCCACCTCTTTTCTCAAACTCTTAATCTTCTTTTCACTCTCTGTGGGAAATAAGCTGCATATATACAGCCTCATGTCAAACTTAACATTTATTTTGATTGGACAAGGCGTCCAAAGAGCAAAAACAAAAGCACTCAAGAGAAAAGCAAAACATGAAAACGAACCTAAAATTGAGAAAGCCAAAGAGCAAACTTGGATTAGACAAGGCCTCCTGGAGGATAGCAATCTTTGCAAAAATCTGGTTGCCTTGGGAGTAAGAGCTACCAAAACAAGCTCTTGAGATTATATCAGCAGAGAGGGTCTTCAATTCCTCATCAACTTTTATGTCCACAACACCTCCCTCACTTTCAATTACACGGCTCTCCCATGTCTTAATAAAAGCCACAGCAGATTCCTCCATCAGACAAACCATACCCTATATGTAACACGTGATGAGAGAGATAGATACGTTACTTACCTAATTATATACAATTGGATATGGAATAAGAATTGATTGACTGTATATTACCTTAACCTTGTTGAGGAAGAATTCAGGAGCAATGACTTTCTTCTGGTAGGCAAAATCTTGTCCGTTGGCTCGAATAATGCTGTCACCTATCAAGGGCTGGAGTGGCTTGCTCAAATATCTAGGTACACCCAAATCCATGTAGTTTTGCAATTTAAGTTCCCTTAACAGCTTGGGATCGCTCACATACAGGTGCTGTTTGCTCCCTGTTGCGTACACATACACTGGACCTGCATACACTTTCCTTCATATCAGACTTGGTAACTTGGTCCTCAATAAATTTGACCCTAAGTCCCAGGTTCCTCATCATAGTTTATTAGTAAGTTATATATGCAGTATAATAATCATAGTAATTTTGGAGGATCAAATAATTTATAGATGTCGGTGACAGTGTTGAGTGACAGAACAATCCAGTTAAAAGATGACATGTGTTCAAACTTGATGATACTTTTTAAAAACTTAATCATATGTCAACTTTTACCTCAATTACAACCCTGTCACATGGTAGGGACATCCACACACAAGTTTTTCTGTAATTATAATGGCGTGACAAATAAAATCCCATCCTACATGTATAACATAGTTATAGTAACGTGTAGTATCTCTAGCATTACCCTAATAACAATAAGGACTAAGTTATTAATGGTTCGACATCCATATGATCCACAATATTGACTAGTAAATTAATATAGTAAATCTACCTACCATATTACTCAATCGATCGTCTAGTAACTATGTACAAATTTAATTTCATACCATACAGCTGCTCCCATTGTTGAAGATACGGGAAGATGGAGGGAACCCAGTTGTGGTGCACATGATTAGCATCAGATGGTTTCTGATTGCTGGACTGGATCTTCTGCATCTCTGGAACGTTCCCGGCAATGAAGGAAGGTGGCGGCCCTCGGATGCCTTGCTTCCAAAGCACAGATCGAATCCTTGCAGGCTTCAGCCACATCTCCTTCATCAATCGAAACAAAACTCTCAAAACACCAATCAACATAACTGACCAACATATCAAAGCCACCTGCAGACCCTCAGCCATCTCTCTCTCTCTCTCTCTCTCTCTCTCTCTCTCTCAGAGACAAGCTATCTTTCTATTACAAGGGCATCTTCCCCTGCTGAGCTCTATAGTAGAAAATTATAGCTCTACTGCGACTCTGAGAGATATGGCAGGCGGACAAAAATACCCTTTTGAATAATAATAATTATCTATGCTGCCATTAAACTTAAAAGTTATGTAGTTGCACTAAACTTTCAGCTAAACCTTAATTAATCATTAATAAGGAGAGGTTAGCAGCTCATTGGCCGCCAATAATATTTAATGTAGTGGTCCAATCAATGTGTAATTTCTGGATAACCTTGGAAAATGGTGAGTTTATTTAAGGTAATAGCATTTGATTGTATTTTAATTTTTTTATAAAATTTGATTATAAAAATATATTAATTCCTTTTTTAAAATATAAATAAGACACAATCATTCATATAATCCAATAGCTAGTCTCTAAATTTTTATTTATTTGTGGAATTTGGAAAGAAGAATATTGGTACTATGCATAGCTCGCAATCTGGTGCATTACTTTTGTTTGATCTACGACCCAAAATTGATGGCCAAACTGTCAAAGAAAATAAAATTATGATACCATTATCTTCGTATACAGTGAGACAGTTGAGCTGTCAAGTTTTTTTCCTTGTTAACTTAACATTCTGAGTTGTTATCCACTAATTATCGATGTAATGATACTTTTCTTTTCCATGTTAAAAGATCTGTTATTTCTTATTTTCCCGTCATTGATATTATTATTATTCTACGGTTATCGTGGTATCAAAACATATTCAATTGTACTTGAAGTGCAAACCAACACTAAAAATCAAAACTAGAACGTGCATATACGTTAAAAGCTAATTAATTAATTAAAATCAGGCCGATGTGGGTGGTTTCTCAAATGAAGTTTTACAGTGGGCAATTGCAGCCTGAATTGAGGTCTCTCTTGTATACACATACACTTTATTTCTCTCATCACTCGCAAACCCTTTGTGAATCGGCGACGACTTGATCGAACTCGGGCAGCTTCTTGTTCTTCTATCCTTTCGACCAATGCCTGTGCTCATGCTATTTCCTATGGCTTCCAAAACCCCTCTAACTGCGCCCAAGTTTATTTCCAAAACCCTCGAATGTTTCTCCTCACCTTCTCCTTCTTCTGAATCCTTGCGCTTCCCTTGTTTGTTCTGCGCCAACCATTTGTCCAGAGGCTTCAGAACACTCTTTTTTGATTTTGTCTTCTTCTTGCTTCGACCGGGATCGCAGGCAACTTGGCGGGGCTTCACAATTGAGGCTACCAGGGCTCCCAAATTCATGGCTCGAAACTTGAACAGCAGCTTCATTATGCCACCGTTTATGGAGCTTCTCATGTTTGTTGCTTTCCTTAATTAATTGATGCAAACAGACATGCCACATGGTAATTAGTAAGCTTCATATCACTTGTCACATTATTATTATTATTTTAAGGTTTTATATTAGCGATATTAGGGTAGAAGGGGATCAAATACAAGACATCGAATACAAGGTAATTGCTCTATCTGCTTTTAAGAGAGCCCCTACAAGTCTTTTGGCAATGAGATATTCTAAAGTATAATAAAAAGAAAAGAGTACTCGAACTCGAGTGCAAAAGTGCAGACATGTTATACTTTTATACATTATTTGTCACATCATAATTGATAGTCTTTTTTTTTTAATTTTAAAAAAAGTGGATCTCTACTTTTATGAGGATGTAATGAAATATTATTAACAGTTCATAATAATGGGTTAAAACATTTTCCAAATAAAACAAATTAATGATTCTACGCGCATTATAGTTTTGGATTCACATGATAAAAGGTTTCTAACTTCTAATATAAAATTATTGATTGGCTTGTTTCAGTATATACCTGCTACGTGCCACGTGAGCATTGTCCGCGTGGATAGACAATTCCGACGATGACCGGAGACCAAAGAGTAACGTGTTGACTGCAGGCAATCTCCCTCTTTTAGTAGCGGTGCTTCTTTGCAGCATGGAAGAGTCTTGATCAGATCCCTCTTTCCGAGCCCCACAACTGCCTTCCGTGGACGAAGAGCTCAAAGTGCACGACGCTGAAGATGATGTCGTCTGATTTACTGATTGGTCGTCAGGAGGCTCAGAGATGTTTTGGTGGGTGTGGGTGGAGAGCTCCGGGAGAAGGCTAGATGAAAAAGATAAACGCAAGTAATCCACATGGTCTAAGCCTCCAACACGATCATCGTCATCTCGATCACAACTTGGTTTAGGATGATCATGGTGATCAAGGGCTATTTCGATGTATGATCCATCATCACTCGTGCCATCAGCATCATCGTCATCTTCGTCATCGTCGGTGAAATGAGAAAGAGAGGAGAAGTTCAAATCTGACTCGGAGCAGCTGAAGGAGAAGCTTCCTCCATGGCTCAGATCTCGCAGATCAGTACAACTCATACTTTCCATGGCATGTAGCAACTATATGCTATATTTCCAGCATGCACACGCTATATACGAATTAATAAAAAAACTATAAAAGGGAAAGTTGGAACACAGATCATAATATATATATGGAAGAATAAGATCTGCAAAGAGATCTACGGAGATAGATATGCTATATGTTGCATGTGCATGTCGAAGCCAGACAGAAATTAATGAAAGGGAGGAGACTGGAAAGTCTCATCAAGTAAAAAGCTTTGGTCCAAGTAAGACACTAGCTAGGCTTTCACGTTTTATAGCTAGGACATCAAGGTGGACCGTCCGAAATTTTTAATGTTTGAAAATTCAAATCCATGCACATATATACATACGTGGTCCAAAGTTGATTTGGGTTGCTTGTGAAGCGATCAGAATCTGACGAATCAAATCCCAGAATTCATGCAAGTTTTATCTCTGGCCCTTGAATTGCTCTTCAAGATTTTAACGTTGTTGTTTGTTAGTCAAATGAAGGACATAAGATGAAACCCATTGGCATATGATGAGAAGCTTATAATCTTGGGTATCTAAAAGCTTATGCAATTCCCGCAATTTGAGCCAACCCCATTCTTTGAGGCCATGGCCCCCAAAGCACCCCAAAAAATTGTATGAATTTGTATTTTGCTTACATTTGTCGCCCTATATCAGGTGTATTTTGTAATGAATTTAACAATAATGATGAAAGGTGCTTTTCAACTACAAATTTGTAATTAATCACCTAATCTAATTAATAATCAAGTTAAGCAGCCCCTTGATTTCAGGATTTTATGAGCCATATATATGTTGAGAACAAATTCCAGAGTTTGCCAATTGGCTTGCAATCTTCGTCAGTTCGATTTATTATTACATTCCTTAAAGTACAAGGGTTGTGACTGTAGATATGAAGTGGGCTAAATTTGAATTTCCTTCTCGTAGTTTAGACTAAATTTTAAAATAAATTATCGTTTGTATAAAAATAATAATAATAAGGGAGAGGAGACATTCCATTGCAGTGAGCAAAAATTCAGTAAAAATAATGAGATCGTATATATAACATACAAAACTGCTCGCGTCAGCAAGAGGTTTGACAAGTCACAAGAGTAACAAAGGGAATTACCGATCGAAATCGATCGTAGTCAATAGTCAATACTGGTGGGGGCATGCCAGCAGACTTGAAATATTCAATTTTAAGCGATCAGACGACTTTTCATCTCATTTGGAAGTTTCCTTTGCATTCTTATAAAAAGCAAAATGAATTATTAAAGTGCCAACTAATCTTTTTGACTTGTTTTTTAATTGGTTAACCAGAGGCCATACAAACATATACTAATTTCTACGCATACGCTTCCGGGTCATGCACATAAAACATAATCTATTATCTGATTGTTTTTTTAAATTTTTTTAATATAAAAAAGTATGAATTTACCATATTATCATCATTTAATTAATATTTTTAATTTTTAATGTTTGTATTAACTAATGACATTTTTTAGTATTTTAAATATTTTGTCATTATCTCCCTTTTGTTTTTTATATATAGATAATTATTTTAAAAAATAAATAATAATTTTATTTGTTCTCAAATAAAATTCAAAAACTCATCCGTCATTTGGACTACCTGGCGATATATACGCATGTGGCTTCTTGAAGGTCCAAGTCTTCGTTCCTTAATCCAATTACTTAATTATAATCGACTCAGCCTTTTCACTTAATTTGAGATTAATTATTCAAACGCCGGCGTTTTATGATACGAAAAACTGACTTAGAAATAATTTGCATACCCAAGATTTATTGATCCATTTGCTTAATGAGAGACACCATAATAAACACAACCAAAGCTTTATCATTATCAATCAAAGGCAATAGATCTAGACATGATCGAGCCACGTAACTACGTCGGGTCCAGAATTAAGCATGCATGCATTCATGTGCAGATATATACCGTCGGTGATCATGAATTTACGAGGAGGGAACAAGAACAGTGGTGCGCATCATGTCCTTGAACTCGAACAAGTCAACGAGGCCATCGTGGTTACGGTCAACGGAGGTGATCATCTGCTGAACTCTATCAATCTCATTGCCTTCCTGGAACCCTAGCTTGGCAAGCACCACCTGCAACTCCTTAGCCGAGATGAACCCATCTCCGTCCTCGTCAAACACCTTGAACGCCTCCGAAAGATCCAACTCCTCCTGGTACATCTTCCTCTTTCCTTCGCATTCTGCCGCAGAAGCAACGACAGACTCTTCGTCGTCGTCGTAGGCGAAGTAGGTGTCGGAGAGGGACTGGTGGAGGGAGAGGAAGTCGTCGAAATTGAGGCCGTCGTTGGAGGGTTGGATGAAGGATTTGATCGTGGAATGGAGGTCGGAGATTTCGACATCAAGGCCGAGGAGAGCGAGGGCTTGGCCGATCTCGTGGACGCTGACGAGCCCGTCTTGGTTTTTGTCGAACACGTCAAAGACGCGGCGGAGGCGGAGGGAGTTTAGGCTCGCGCACCGAAGCCGAAACGACGACTTCGATGACGGCCTCTTGCTAAGGGCGGCACCAGTCGGCCGTGCAGCCGAAGACGCGGCTGCTAATTCCATGATGATAATTAATTTAATGAATGATTTATTTATGTATAAATCACTGGGGGGATGAAGAAGAGGATGGAGAGAAGGAAACAGGAGATGTTTTGTTTTGGGTGGGGATGAATATGTATGGGTGTTTTTATGACTTATAACAGGGGAGGGTGCGCGTTTGGTGGGCGTTGAAAGTCTGTCGTTGTTAATTTCCTGTTAATTTGTTAATCTGTTTGTTTAAATTAGTTTTAAAAAATTGATTTTGCATTTGCCCGTTGTTTGCATTTCCAACCGCCTAACTAATACTCCAACTACAAGTCAGTCGGCGTTGACCCAACAAAAACAAAATCATTATAAATAAACAAGCCCCTTGATAGATGCTCACGCATATGCCAATTAGTTTTTATTATTATTTTATTGTTAGAATTAAAAAAAGATAACATGAGTAGTTATGTTCTATAAAAGTAATACATATTATTTGATTTTGTTTTTATTTTTATTTTTTTAATATGAAAAAGTGAATTTACCATATTATCCTCATTTAATTAATAAAAAATTAATTTTGCATTTGCCCGTTGTTTGCATTTCCAACCGCCTAACTAATACTCCAACTACAAGTCAGTCGTCGTTGACCCAACAAAAACAAAATCATTATAAATAAACAAGCCCCTTGGTAGATGCTCACGCATATGCCAATTAGTTTTTATTATTATTTTATTGTTAGAATTAAAAAAAGATAACATGAGTAGTTATGTTCTATAAAAGTAATACATATTATTTGATTTTGTTTTTATTTTTATTTTTTTAATATGAAAAAGTGAATTTACCATATTATCCTCATTTAATTAATAATTTCAATTCTTAATATTTGAATTAACTGAGGACATTTTCTAGTATTTTGAATGTTTCATTATTTTCTACTTTTGCTATATATATAGACTAACCTCTTGGCACACGCTCACGCAATGCCAATTGGTTTTTTATTTTTTTTATTTTTAGAATTAAGAAAATATAATATGGGTAGTTATGTTATATAAAAGTATGACATATTATCTGATTTTGTTTATATGAAAAAAATGTGAATTTATCATATTATTCTCATTTAATTAATAATTTTAATTTTTAATATTTTAATTAAATAATGATATTTTCTGGTATTTTAAATGTTTCACAATTATCTACTTTTTGCTTTATATATATAGATAATTATAATAATAAATAAACAGTCGGTGGGATTCCAATTCTAAATCCAAAAAAATAAACAGGAAAAAAAACACGACATATCATGGAATTTGGATTTATGGGCCATATCATATGTGGACAAAGAAACAGCAGATTTATGCGAAAGGGTATGGTCTGAGTTCCGTGTATTGGCCCACTTTAGGACACGTGCGATTGGACCCGTACCCATGCCTACACCTCACACGCTCTGCCATTTGTTTTCAGGCGGTGCATCGTTGACTCACACTGGTCATACTTTTTCTTTTTCTGGTTGGTTTTTTTGGTTACAATTACATTTACAGTTGAGTTAATCATCTTTTAATCACAAAACAAACAATCTGCCATCTTTTTCATGTGTACGTTGTGTGTTAACATAATGCCGCTGGCTAAGCTAGTTAGCTAATATAATATCACATACGAATTATAAATTAATATTCTTCGAATAATATTGTTTACATACATATTGTAAATGAATTAATTGATTTCTCGATCAGGTGTGACAATCATATTAAAAAGTTTTTCAAAATAAAAGCATACAAAACGTGTGATGTATCAGTTTGAGAGTGTTTGTGTAGTATCAATACTGTTTCCAAATATGTCTTATCTTATATTGGTAACAAAACAATTGAGCAATTAAACCTCATGATAAGTTTGAGGAAAAAGCTAAATTAAGGTAAGATTGCTCCCCTATGGTCAGGTTTAATTTTCTTTCCTTATTAATATTTCTAAAAATTCCCACATTACCATTTGTGTATTTATTCCCTCTAAAACATATTTCGCGCCATATTTTTCCCTCCAAAACATAGTTCCCTCCATATTTTTGCCTCCAAAAAAAAAATTTCCTTATGTATTTCCCTCCAATAATTATTTCCATTTATATTAATTTTCTTTCCAAAACAGAGTAATTATAGATGATGTGCACATTTTTTTTATGAGAACGAAGTGCATTATGATGCATAAAACAACTCTAATAATGTTGAAAATCCAATTATATCGACATCAAACTTGAACAAAGAAAAATTAATGTGGATATAAAAAATAAAATAAAAAGGGAATTGATGGAAGTAGGGAGTGTAATTAGTTTTTTTAATGCATTTTTAGGAGTTTAATGTTTATTATTAGAATTTTGGGAGGAATATTAAACGAGTGGGTTGCGCAAACCGCCAAAAAGTAAAAAAAGGAGGTGAGTTTGCGGAGAAAGTGGGTCCAGAAATTCGCAGGAGGAGCACTCAGATCTATTAAACTGGAGCCAAACTCGAAAGCAAAGACAGCGACTGAGTTAAAGTCTATTTACAAACACTATTTTGCAGCTTTACAAAGTAACCTCTCTCTCTCTCTCTCTCTCTCTCTCTCTAACCCCATTCACTTTCCAACTCCTTCGGCCTGCGGCTGCTTCAACTGTTCTTCAACTCTGCTCTCACTCAGGTACTCAAAGTCTCCAGCTTTTCCCTGTCTCAAGCTCTTTCTGCTTTTGCTGTTATGGGTTCTTCTTTGTTTGCTCTCTGAGATCGATTTCTTAGGTTATCTGTTCATTTATGTTGTTTTAGGGTTTTGAGTTTCCTGAATCAGGTTTCCCCTGCTGCCTTTTGCCGGGAGAATTAAAATCCTTAACTTTTATGAATATTTTAATTCAAAGTTCGAATCTTTTGTTGTCATTTAGGTAGTTATTGTTATATCTCATCTTCAGGGCATCTGGGTTATCTATTTAGATTTGCTTCTTTATTATTTGTCTTGTTTTCTACTTTGATTTTCCTTTCCACCCCAAGCCCTTTTTTTGTCTCTTTCGATTTCTGTTAATTTTCAACCAAATTTTCATGCAGGTTCAACTATTTCACATGGGTTTTATCTGAATTTGATTTCTGTTTTCAGTATCTACTTAAAATAATGATTTGCTGCCAAATTCTACTTTTACTGATCAAGTTCCCATCTTCAGCTGCTATCTTCTCCCTGTATTTCAATTATGATTACAACTAGATGAGATAATGCTTTTTCTGCCAAATTATTCTTTTACTAATCAAGTTCTTCTTCAGCTGTTACCCTCACCATGGGTTCTGGAGATTGTATCAATGAACTAGATCAATGCAAACTACCATCTCAGAAATCTTTGGAAAAATTGGATAGAGCTAGTGCTTTGGGGCTTCATAAGGATGCCGCTGAGACACCAATGAAATTGATGGCAAATGGGATGGCTTCTCTGGGGCCTATTACTCCTAAAGCAGACAGAGAGAATGGGGATTTCACCATTGACTTCATATCTCCGCCCTCATTTTTAAAGAAACCGTCAATGGTGACCTGCCTCAGTTCCAACACCAACAGAAATGGGGATGACCCATTTGGTTATTGTGCTGATGGTAGCAGCCCTAGGACACCAGTGGATGGTGTCTTCGATCCCTTTGCCCCCGGTCGGGATGACCTGGCATTGGCACCCCGGTGTAAAAAATTTGTCAGTAAGTACAGAAGTGTGGTTGCTCGTCAGCTTAATTTTGATTCTCCTGTCCAAAGTTCAGAAGATGAGATTTGGACTGATGTAGAATCTATTTCGGACGAGGAAATGTTTGAAGCGGTGTATGAAAATCTATTGAAAGTTATTGTATCCGAGCAAACTGAGGGAGTTTTTTCTGAATGTTCAAGGAAAGGTTGGGATTCTGATGACTGCAAAACACCTCCCCCGGAACCGCTTCTAAATGGAGTAGCTGAATCTTGTCCTGGTGCGCCCTTGAGGCCATCAGGGAAATCAAGGAACATTGACTTGGGGTTAATCAGAAAGCTTGAATTCTAGCACCATCTGACCCATGCGGTTATATGCAGTGAATTTGCTAGAATTCGGGTACTTCTTTCCAACAGCTGATCATTTGCTAATTATCATTTCTGCCCCTCTTATATGTTTCATAGGGATCAACTCAGTCTCTCTGTCTCTCTCTGTCTGACCTAGATTATACAGTAGTGCTAGCATTGTACAGTAGTTGTCGACCTTATTTATATTTTCAACCACAGGAAAAGACATCATTTTGATTTTAGCATTGGCTAGTACTCCTCAATTTTTACTCAGAATGTAAGACAAAGGGAGAAATAAAATAGAACTTCTTCCTTCATCAATCATGTGCTGAACATATTCGTGTTTAGTAGCTGTCTTATCAAATTTTGTATGCCTGAAATCTCTGCGCTTTATGATTCGGGGCTATAATGTGATGACCGGAATGATTGTCTATGTGTATATTGCTCAACTTTGAGTCTTGTTGGATGATAAGAATTGGGAAACTAATTGAACGAAGCTATTTTCTTCGTAGTTTTTTGGTAACTTGGTTTATAGGAAGTCTGAAACAGGGAGTTCTTTGTTTTCCATCTAGGATGCTAGCCATACGTTGAGCAGCACCAAGCGAGCTATAAACAAGGCTACTCTGTTTATGTCCTTGGTTTTGTTTAACCCCTTTATCTCTAGTTCTTGTATTTTCTCCGCCAGAATGAAATTGTCGATGCCGGTATTGATGTACATGGATAAGCTAGGGTGTAATCTGATGTCTTGTGCCCGATTGGATGGACAAAGACATTTGTTTTCACATGAATCTTGAGTATATCCCTGTTGGAGAATGAATTTCTTTGAAATGAGATAGATGTCACTGAGTCTCTGTTTTCTGCTTTCATTCTTAGGAAAAGTTGTGGATTTTATTCAGCTCTGGTAGACTCTCTGTGATTTGTTTGTTTGGATGTTATAATGTAACGGGGTTCAGAAGCTGTTTGCTTTTGTTCCCCTTCCCTTTCTGTTTTAAAAGTTAAAACAGCATGCTCTCAGCACAAGCTTCTCAGGTTGTGGGCAAAAAGTTCACGGGCTGTTTTGATGATGTTGGGTTTGGTGGGTAGGCTTAGAAAGCTCTGTCAGCGATTGGCGTGTCAAGAAACCAGTTAGGCCCGTGAAGTCACCCATGCTGGCATATCAATATAAACTATAAAATATGTGAACAAGGATCTCTGATTTTGGACATCATATGCGAATTTTTCCATATATTTTATTTTATTTTCGTGCATCAAAATCTATGTTTGGTTCCCTTTCTCCAAGTTTCAACAAAAGAAAATAAAGAGCACAGAGAAAAAGACAAAAAGCTTCACAAAATTCTAAATAACCTGGGTTTAAGTTCGTCCTAACTTTAACTCTGCATCATCCTAGCTCAAGCTGATCACAATCTGAAAAGTTTGCTTCTTTTTCCTCCATGGTAGCACAAAAATGCATAATTTACGTGCCATTCTTTGGGTTTACTGGAATCTGCACCTTCTCACGAATCATTGAGAAGCAAGCAGTATTCTTCTCCAATACTCACAATCACAACTTGGCCTTGCTTTTACAAACTTGCCTCTTCACCTTCATGTCAGGAAAACCAATGGTCAATTGGCACTCAGATACAGCCACAGCATGCTTCTTGATGAACCCCAGGAAGGTAACCCTGCCCGGGATCCTCGTACGTGTTTCCAGCACAAACTCACCACCAAGCAGATCACTGATCAAGTTGCTCATGTTGTTCACCAGCCGGTCCGCCTGCAGCGTAAGGCGGCACGGCAACGTGGAGTTGCCCCTCGATGGGATAAAACCTGGGTACAAGTCAGCATCACCTACCTGGTTGCCTTGGTACAGAAGAAAAGTCTTGCCAGTGCCATGCTTGAAGCTGGCGTGGTTTCTGTTCTCCACAAGGATCATGAGGTCGAGAGTGATGTTGAGCTCAATCTGAACGGCGGGGAATGAGACACGAGGAGCCACGCCGTCGACAGATGCAGACAGGATCTGGGTTATTGGTTGTCTGGTCTTGAACACAGTTAAGGCCAAGATCAAGGCAATGATGAAGAGCAGCAGGATTAAGAAGAGGACAACCCCAATTGCAATGAGACAGGAGCGCTTTCTCTTGTTGGGTTTGGTGAGGTGGTCGCTGTTTTCTGTCATGGTTTTGATTGAACAAAGGTGTTTGATAAATTTGAAGTAAGTTTGTTGAAGACTTGAGAAAGAGAGACAAAGATGAAGAGGTAACAGAGGAAGAGTGAGTTGCAGAGGGGTTTGTATTTAGATCGGTTTTGGGTTCTTCTTCCAATTAAAATTGTAGGTGGTTGGGGATTGGGACTTGATTTTAATGCGCGCCCCCCAACCCCCCCTCCAATCCAACGGCCAGCAAACAACTAACTCAGCTTTCCTCGGGTCACCGCCTTTTAATTGCTTCCCCACCCGCTATTCTTTTTCTTTTTTCCTTTGTGTTTCCAATAGCAAACCAATTTTTCTGTTATGCTAGTTTGCCACATATCCCCGCCCGTGATGAGATTCGGTATAACAGATGATTATTTGCTTAACTTCTCTAATTTGTCTGATTCGAATCCCCCTTTCTGTAAATTAGAGTAATTTAGACTCATTGCTTATATATATATATATATATATATATATATATATTAATATAACTTCACTAATTTGCTTGCATGTCTTCCTCAAATCCAGCGGTGTTCGTATTGACAGCATCATATACTTGCAAGCTTTAAGGCGGGTTTAAAGAGAAGGGTCAAGATTGTGGCCGGTTGACGTGCCAATGCAACGAGGGTGGAAATAGTATGGTCTCCCATTGTTTGGTTTGAAAAACGACAACATGCACACTACGCAATATGCATGTGTGTAGAGAGAGAGAGAGATCACGTAAGCGAAGTAAGACTTTTGGGGAAGGGCACCTAAGCAATGTGGACTTTTGGGAGCTTCGATGAGTCTCAAATTCTAAACTCAGAAAACATCACAATTCACACAATTAATTTGATGAGCAAATTGCAAACAACAAAACCAAAATGAAACCAGTCTAATAAAACTTTGTTGCGTATGAAAATTGCCATATGACACAAGTTTGGTGTTACTTTGGGGCGTTGGTTTGGAATGGGATGCTTTCACTTTTTGTTTTTTTTATAATGTTTTTGTGTTCGAATTTTCCCTTGTAACTTGTTTAAGCAGCAAAGAAACAATACCAATGCCTAAAAGACAAAAAAAATTCAGAATCTTTATTCATTTGTGCAATGCTTCTCTCGAACAGTCTTGCTACAAACATTGATATCAAATTGGCATGAGCTGGTAGAGACCGCGTCGGCATGAAACTTGAAGATTTTGAGAAGAGAAAACAATCTGCCAGAGAATTTGATTTGAATGTTGAAGGGCAATGTACCAGCCAACATGTCCGAATGAATCATAATCAGCTCCGATTCTCCCTGCAAACGATCAGCTAAATTACTAGCGAGCATTACATTTGCGGTTTTGGTGGCAGCCTTTGATATCACTCCTGCTTTTATAAGAGCCTCACCCACCACCACACCCCTGTAAACCAAGAGCACTGTGCTGTGGGTGTACTTGAAGGCCACACCATTGGGGTTCATCACAGACATGTTCACATCCACACTGATTTCGGGCACATTACGTGACATGTCGATGTCTCTTAAGGCCACGACGTCCACCGTGGTTATGGGGGTCATTTTCTTGTACACTGTCATGGATAGAAGCAGCAGTATAATCGATATGAGCATAAGAACAGAGGTCACTGCCGGACAGATGACTGTGAGCCGGACCATCTTTGTTCTAATTACTTCCTTGTTGAAGAAGGCAGCTTTAAATGCTTAATTTCTATCATTTACCTCGCATGTCTTCCTTAACTTCTGCATGCCCTTCCTCCCCAGTTTGCTATTAAATTATTCAAACACGCTTAAAGAATTATAAGCCGTAATAGATGGAAAGCGTAAAAGTTGTGTTTGATGTGAAAATGCAGAGACTAGAGTGAAAAATATATGTATATTTATTAGATACTCAATACTACAACTTAATTCCAAGTCATATCAAAAGAAAAATACTTGAGAAATTATAGCACCAAACATGTATGTAATTAAAAGATTTATTTAACCCTATAGAGCAAGAAAAGATCATAAGTTGCTCTATGCGCACTTGGGGTCCCCAATAGTCTTGCTCTTGACATCGATATCGAAACCACATAAGCCGGTGGAGATCACAGGGACACCAACCACGCGGAAAACCTTCACTTTGCCGGAGATTTTGGTGTAAGTGTTGAAGGGCACCATACCCCCTGCCACGTCCATATGAATGACGGGGTTCCCCTGCATACGCTCAGCCAAAATGGTGAGCGTGACGGTCATGGATTTAGTGGCGCCTGGGGCTATCTCCCTGACTTCTATGACCGCCTCGCCGACCATAACACCCCTATAGAGCAAGAATGCAGTGCTTTTGGTGGGCGTGAAGGCATACTTGTTGGGGTTCTTCACAGAGAGATTCAAATCCACAGTGAGTTTAGGCACATCCTGAGAAATTTGCAGGTCCCTTAAGACCACCCCATTCAGCATGGTTATGGGGTCCTTTCCTCTGTACACTGTCAACGATAGGATCCCCATTATAAGTGCTACTGAAATCACAAGACCTGCGGCCATCGCCATGGCGATGTATTGGAGCTTTCCTCCTAGTTTCTTCATGATACCTTCCCCCCTCGTTTCTTCCATTGTTTAACTTCTCCAACACAATATACCAGGTGATTTGTTCTTGCTGTGTTTTGCAGCGGCTATGGTGTACTTGCATACCATGCTCTGAACATCTTTTATAGCCTCAAATTTGCCCTCTTCCTTAATTAACTTATGCATGCCCTTTCTTTCTTTGTCATTAAGTTGCTCAAATCGAACCGTATCTTGATTACAGCATGCTTAAAATTTATACCGTGTACCAGCATGCTTAAACAAGTTTAAGGCCCAGCTTGAAGGGAAGCATAATGCAGAGAGGGAAAATTGTGGTCTTATTTGCTATGGAAAGCAACAAATGCATGCCATGCACTATATGCTGTTAACCCCTAAAAGGTGTTTGTTTTAAGGGTCCAAACAGAAAAGGGAGACAGAGCAAATTTGGACATAGATTTGTACTTTGCAGGAAGACTTTCAAATTAAAATACACTGGTTCTCAAACTCTCACAAGTGTTTTGTGAGCAAATTGTCTCATTCTTTCACGCACTTGGTTCTTTTCAGAATTTAGTCAAACTGAAAATGACAAGAGCTTTCTTTCTTCTTAAATTGAAGTATAGAGTATCCAGAACATTGATTGAAAATATACAGGCCAA